CGGACTCTGGGGAGGGTGAAAAACGGGCCTTCCGGAAGTCCGGAAATAGGCCTGTTTCCGGATTCCGGAGAGCCTCCAAAGGAGGCCGTTTTTGCTCTCCCAGAGTCCCGAGGGAAGCCTCCGGACTCTGGGGAAGGTGAAAAAACAGGCCCTCCCGGAAGTTCCGATAGGCTACACCCACCATGGCCACGCCCACCCATCAACCAGGCAGCGAAGCGGTTGCTGCGATTTTGGAATCGCACCTCTTGGGGGCAAGGCTCATTTCCCGGAGACTCCAATCCGAAGCGGTTTGGTTTCTTGGTGGTTTGGCAAATCTGTGCTAGAGGGTTGGGGTTTTTTTTGGGGGGGGGGGGGGGGTCTGGGATGCCTTGACCTCTGTGTTTGTGTGGATGTGTGTGAATGTGTGCGCGCGATTGGGGAAAAGTAAACCCTTGCATGCATTACAGTGGTGATTTATATGAATATTCCGAATTTCAGGCTTGAAAGGTCAGCCTCTAAATACCTTTCAACAGGTTTACTAACTCTCTAAAACTGCGACGTACAAACTTTGCAACTTTTAAAGACCCTGTGGACTTCAACTCCCAGAATCCCCGTGCATGGCTGGCTGGGGCATTCTGGGAGTTGAAGTCCACAGGTCTTCAAAGTTGCCAAGGTTGGATACTTCCTACTCCAATAGAAAACACTCTGGATTCCATTTTGGCCGGCTGGATAATTTGGGGCAGGGTCTTTTCTTGCGTTTAATGTTTACAGTGATTTTAGTTCTTGGTTAGTGTGCCTGTGTGTGTGTGTGCGTGCGTGTGTGTGCACATATACATGTGTGTCTGGTTGTGCAATGAGAGTGCGATGTACTTTTGGCGTCCCTAGTGTTTTAGCTGCCCTTCCTGACAATCTGTACAAAACGACAAAGGGCTGTGTAACTAATTTACTCATTGTACATTTTCCCCCAATAACGTTTTTCTGTGTTTCTTCGGCTTTTCCTCTTAAGTTACAAAAAAAAAACAATGCAAAACTCTTAAAAGAGCAGCTCAGAAGTTCTCATTCCTTCAAAATACGGCACTCCTCGGCTTACGACCACAACTGAGCCCACCCACCCCACCAACATTTCCCCGTTGCTAAGTGAGACAGTTGTTCAAGCGCGATTTGGCCCATTTTAACGCCCTTCCTTGCCACGGCGGTTAAGGAGATGGCTGCCGTTGTTAAGTGAGTCACCCGGTCGTTAAGTGAATCGGGTTTTCCCCCCACTGACTTTGCTTGTGAGAAGGAGGTCGCAAAAGGGAAAGACACAGGTATGCTGCAGCCGTCATAATTATGAGTCGGTTGCCAAACATTTGAATTTGGGTCATGTGACTAGTGGAACGCTGCAAAGGTGTTAAGAAGAGATGGGACTGCCGTCTGTCAGAAATGGTGTAGAGCAGTGGTGGCTAACTCTTTTGGGCTCCTGTGCCAAAAACTGTGCATGCAATTGCACACTCACGCTCGCGTGCCAGCACCCAGAAGGCAATGCGTGCACGCACAATCTCCACCCACCCCACCCCACCCCTTCACACTCTTATCTGCACTGCTGATTTTCGGCTGGTTTGAGGCCTTTTGGGGCCTCCCAGAGGCTTGAGGAAGGCTTCTGCAGGCCGAAAACTAGGCCCGTTTTGTCACTTCTGGTATTTTCAGAAAAACAGGAAGTGGTGAAACAGGCCTAGTTTTTGGCCTGCAGAAGCCTTCCTCAAGCCTCTGGGAGGCCCAAAAAGGCCTCAAACTGACCGAAAATTAGCTGTGAGGCGCGCATACGTGCAGTGAGGTAAGTTTTGCCTGCAGCTCGTGTGCCGGCACAAATGGCTCTGCATGCCACCTGTGGGCCGTGTGCCATAGGTTCGCCATCACGGGTTGTAGAGTCTCCTGCTTGGGCAGGGGGTTGGACTAGATGACCTACAAGGTCCCTTCCAACTCTTGTTCATCTAAAAGGTTGTAATTGCGAAAAACATTTCTAAGTCCCTTTCTTTTTTTTAGTGCTGTTGGAACTTTGGTGACTAAACGAACAGTTGTACGTTGAGGACTACCTGCACAAGTTCTGATTTACGTAGAAATTCGAATTTAAGGGCAGATTTCAGATCAGAACTCGGTCTTAACCCGGGGACCGCTTGGATTTCTGAAGCCCCCTCCGTGCTTTCAGATGTGAAGCCTGAAAAGATCTTTTTCATTGGGCCCAGAGCACAATAGCCTGGGAGATGCGATTCTCACTCTTCATACGTTAATACGGGTAGGCCTCGCTTTACGACCTTCCTTGCCGCCGTTGGTAAGTGAATCGCTGCAGTTGGTAAGTTAGGAACCCTGGCTGTTAAAGTGAATCGGGCTTGCCCATCGACTTGGCATGTCAGAAGGTCATAAAAACTAATCCAGGAGCGGAGCAACCTAGAACTAAGGAGACAGTGAGAACAATTAACCAGTGGAACTACTTGCCACCTGAAGTTGTAGGTGTGGCAGCACTGGAGGTTTTTAAGAAGAGATTGGGTAACCGTTTGTCTGAAGCAGTGTAGGGTCTCCTGCCTAAGCAAGGGGTTGGACTAGAAGACCTCCAAGGTCTCTTCCAACTCTGTTATGCTAAAGGGGATCATACGACATACATACGCCCAGGACACTGCCACCGTCACAAATATGAGAAAATCGCCAAAAATCTGAATGTTGGGGATGTTGCAATAGTCGTGTCAAAAATGGATAAAGGTCACTTTTTTTCAGTGTTTTAAACTTAGAACGGTCGCTAAATGAACTGTTATGTCTTATACCCAGTTAGGAGCACCAATTCATGGGTCGAAGAAAGCAAGATGGCAACTCCAGCAGCAGAATTAAAGCCCATCTCTTTAATCTTTCACTTGGTTGATCCACTCCAAAGGGAGATTCCAGGATCCACGTGTGTTTGGACCAATGATTTCCACGTTCAGAGCTTTAAGGTGTATGGACTTCAATTCCCAGAATTCCCAAGCCAACATGGCTGGTTGGGGAATTCTGAGATTTGAAGTCCATGCATTCAAAGCATACTGCCTGGGGGATTAGATTAGAAAAACAGATCTGGAAGGGACCTTGTAGGTCATCTAGTCCAACCCCCTGCCCAAACAGGAAACCCTACACCATTTCTGACAGATGGCATTTCAATCTCTTCTTGAAAGCTTCCAGGGATGAAGCTCCCACAACCCCCTCTAGGCAACTAGAGAAGAATAGAATAGTCTTGGGGAGTGGAAGTGCGGCCCTCTTAAAGCATGCCGGCTGGGGGATTCTGGGAGTGGAAGTCCCCCCTGCCCCCATCTTAATCCGAAGGTGCTTTTCCAAAAGGCAACTGGACTTCCTTGATTTTTTTCTTTGAAAACGTTTAGCTTCTCCCCCAAGAAGCTTCTTAAGAACCGAAGAAGCTCCTTGGAGGAGAAGCGAAACTTCTTCAACGACAAACAATGAAAGTCCAGTTGCCTTTTGAGAAAAAAAAACACACCTTTAGAGGCAACAAGGTCCTGGATGATTGCAAATATCCATAAACATTTGCCGTCTTAAAAACATGGCTGGTAGGGGAATTCTGGGAGTTTGCGTCCACCCATCTTAAAGCATCCTGGCTGGGGGACTCTGGGAGTGGAAGTCCGCAAGTCTTAAAGCAGGCTGGCTGGGGGATTCTGGGAGTTGAAGTCCTGCCCTCTTAAAGCAGGCTGGCTGGGGAATTCTGGGAGTGGAAGTCCTCCCCTCTGAAAGCTAACAAAGCTTTGAGAAGCATAAGTTTGAAGAAACACAATCTCTAAATCCTATTTCAATACAGAACAAAAGACAAATTCTGTTTCCCCTTCTAAACTTTTACCGACGTAGAATCGACATTTTAAACTTTGCAAACGATCAAAGAAAGCCCGTTAGTTCTGGTTGGAAGTGGAAACAGGCGGGCCCCGATCCATCTCGATCCAGCAGGGCCACGCTGTCGTATCTCTCATACGGACAAGGACGCGAGGCAGTGACTTGGTTCAGCTCATTTATTCGGGAGAAACACAAGTGGGGTCAGTGGGGAAGAAGCGCGGCTTAAAAGCATTTTTCGCCGAGCGCTGCGGCCAATCGGGGTCGTTTGAATCGCCCGCGATCGGCTCAGCCAATCGCGGTCGATTCCGAACGACCAATCAGTGCCGCGCACTCAGCCAATCCGGTGGCCGTGCGCTTAGGCCAATCCGGGCTGCCGGATTTCGAGTATGCAAATGTCTGTACAGAACACACGCCTTCTTCACATCCTATCCTTCCTTTGCACATTGTGTAAATCCCCTCCTCTTCTGGTTTTTACTCACACACACACACACACACACACACCCTGTGATCTGTTGTGGACGCTTTCATTTTGTATGAAATCCTTCCCATTTCCCGCACCGGAAAACTCTGTACAAACCGACCTATACATAGATACCCTTATACAGCATATAAATATATAAATAATGGGCCTATTTAAACGGAATAAATACCTTATTATCGCATGCCAGTGGGTGGTTGTCATGCAACTGACTTGTTAAATGTTTGATACCAAATGTTTTGCTACAACATGGTCACTGCTGAAGACAGACCTGACTACAACTTCGGACATAAATTTTGTATTCCACTATCGTTTCGATGT